CAGATCTCTTTGTCCATAATCTGGTTTAACACATGATGAAAACAGTTGATTAAAATACAATTTACCAAATTGCTGTATCTTATATTCTTTAACTGATGGGAACACGTGCCCATGCAAAGCGGAGACAGGCTGCAGAGGAAACAGGGACAACTCTGCAGAGTACAGCTGTGGTTTTGTGGAAGGAGAGGAGGAGGAGAAGCTTCAGAGAGCCTCTTGCGAGGTTGTCAAGGTTACAGGTGCTATTGCTTCTGTAGGTGAGTGGCTTGGGCATTCTCTGCTGATAATTGGTATCGGCTGTTTTCTTCCAAGATAACAAAATTTGCATTTTAATTAGATGGTTGCATTTGTCAACACTGAAGCATAAAATATAAGTAATTCAAAGATTTTCATAGGACCACCGTTAAGGACTTTGAAAAAAATTACAATAGCAGCATTACCCCAATAATATTCTTATTGCATTTAAGAAGTGAGAATCCTGTTATAAACTCTCAGTGAATTAACCACTAAATATGCCTTCCTAGTTCCTTAGATCCCAGTATAAATGTTGCTTTTGGAGGCTAGGATTCTCCATTTCGGATGCAGGGAAGCCGAGAGCTGCATGCCAATCTGGTGCTCAGTGTGAGAACTGAGGATTTGCATTGAACTCGCTGCTTCAAGACATCTCTGAGACGGCAGCAACTGTGCCTTAGCCCTAGGAAAGAAATCTCTGCTGATACCAGCATGGTATGGCTCGAGCAGAGCCTGACAGTGCCAGTATATACTTTAGGGAAAACAAATGATGTCGTGGTAGATTTCAAGCTGCGCTCGTAATTGGTACAATATGGCATCCTGAATTTTCTGCCAGAGTTAAGAGTGATATGGCAAGATCTTCGTCTACTGTGAAGATGTGCAGCACCGCTGACTTCCTTAGAGCTATATAAGCGTATACAGTTGGGGATGGGGCCAAGGAGGTTTATACTATAGATCAAACAAGCTAAAACAAGCCACTGCTGCACTGAACGAGTACCAGGTGCTAAAGTCGGGCAGAGTAGTGGTGTTACCAAGGAGGGGCTCAGAAGGCAGACAGCCTGCTTTGTACACCGAGAAGGAGAAATTCACTGTTCACTGCTCCTACAACAGCAAGATCTAGTCAGAAAGCCCACCACCGCTTTGGAGCTGGGACACCCATGGTTTACTTGGAAACGCTTTTCACGTGCTAAGTCAGGTAATTTTGCAAACTTTTTTTAAAACTCGCAAAATGTCTCGCCCTTTGTGATGGGAAGCTGCAAATCTTGCTAAATCAATATAAACTGCCCAGTTTTAAGTAAAGCAGTAGTTTCCGCAAATGCCATGCCTTCAGGGCAGCTTATCCATTCGGAATGTGGAGGAGACACCTGCTTCTGCCTCCCTCTGCTGAGGGAGAGTGAGAAAACGCACTCTTGAGCCTAACATCAGCCTTTGTGTGCCCACTCCATCTCCTTCTCCCACTGGCTGCTTAAAATCTTCGATTCCTTAGTTTCCCCATGGTCATTTTAGGCAGACAGAGAGTCAGATCATTAGCAGGGGCCGGGGAAGGGCTGCCGGAGCTGCAGCCAGGGCAGCCCCGTGCCGGGGGTCCCACCGCGGCCGCCCCACGTATCCCTGGTGGCTGCAGGCTGGTCTCCTCTGGCCGGTCCAGCCAGGTACGTCTGGTTTCTGTGACTGCTCTCAGAGGAAAAGGAAAGAGAGGAGCATCGCCTGCTTGGTAGGAAGGAGCCATGGGACACCAAGAGCCAGGCCCCATACAGCTTCAAAATTGAATGAGGTTTGGGATGAAGCTCAGGGTTTTTTTCCTTAGAAGTCTGAAAATTTGGAGAAATGATAAAAGGAAAGTTGTGGAATTATTTTGCCATGTTTGGACACTATATTTTACTGGCATTTATGTGCATGGTGTTGCTGTTATATAGTCAGTTCAGACTTTCTGTTGACGACCTTTTCTGTAACATTAACCACAATACTGTGCACACGCAATATTGCAAAGAAAAAGATGAGGCAAGGATGCCAATTCACTATTGCCGGTCTAAGTACTATACAGGATTTGCAGTTACAGTAGTGATGGGTGCAAATGCAGAAGCAGAAAATAGGCAATTTTCTGTAGAAAAGTTGCATGATGCTAAAAAAAATCTAGCTTCCTCAATGACTTTGCCGCTGTCATTTATTTTTGTAAGGACCCTTTCTCAAGAAGATGGTTATTGCGCTTCTGTAGATTTACCAACGTAATGACTTACCACCATATTAAGTAGTTCAACAATTTAGGGCTAACTTGGTGTGTCTTTACATTTAATAACTCTCTGGTGTGAGAAGAATTAGTCACGCATGGCATTAAGGTGCAGCTAATTGTGAATGGAGACATTTACATTCTGAATCCTAGTGAATTATATCACGTGTGTTGCACTGGTTTTACTTCATTCCCTGGTTGATTGTTATAACCGAGTATAGCCTGTAACATTTACTTTCCCAGAGTGAAATAAATCCTGCACCAGGGATTGACATCACTTTTGTTCCTCTTGTGCCTTTTACATAGTATTTAAATTTCAAGTGGTCTTGTAGACTTCATACAAATTCTCCACGGAAAGTAGATTCCGCTTTTAATATTTTAACTCTTTATATCACATAGCTTTGTAAATTGCAAGGCTATTACAGGCCAGCATGCAAAACACGCAGGTATCTTTACCTAATGTGTGGGTGAACCCATCTTGGGTTAAAAGTTTATTAGGTGCAAGAAGAATACTTTATTTAACTGAAATGTAATTAGAGTTATTACGTTTAGATTAGAGAGTTGAAATTAGAGTTGAAATCTTTTCAAGTTCCACTGAAGACAGCATAGTTAATAATGCTGCTTTATCTCAGCTGAAAGCTAGGGCACCTGCCAGTGTGCAGGGGGACCCAGGAGCATGTCTTCCACCCCAGAGGACCACAAAAATGATCAGAGGGATGGAGCACCTCTCCTACGAAGAAAGGCTGAGAGAGTTGCGGTTGTTCAGCCTGGAGAAGAGAAGGCTCCAGGGAGACCTTGTTGCAGCCTTCCAGTACTTAAAGGGGGCTTGTAAGAAAGATGGGGACAGGCTTTTTAGCAGGGCCTGTCGCGATGGGACAAGGGGTAACGGTTTTAAACTAAAAGAGGGCAGACTTAGCCTAGCTATAAGGAAGAAATTTTTCCTGATGAGGGTGGTGAAACACTGGCCCAGGTTGCCCAGGGAGGTGGTAGATGCCCCATCCCTGGAAACATTCCAGGTCAGGTTGGACGGGGCTCTGAGCAACCTGACCCAGCGGAAGATGTCCCTGCTCATTGCAGGGGGTTGGACTAGATGGCCTGTAAAGGTCCCTTCCAACCCAAACTATTCTGTGATTCCTGTGTTGTCCAGCCCAGTGGTACTTCACATGGATAGACTGAGGGGGCTGTGAACACAAACATACCGCAATTATTAATTAAGTAATTATTAAATAAGTAACATTATTAATTAGTAAAGCAGGTAACTTTACATGAGATATGCGGTATTTTGCTATCCATTCTATGTCCAAAGACTTGAATGGGCCAGAGGCCACCCAAAACTAGGGAAGAAGCCACATGTTAGAGATCTTTGTCAACAGTCAGTCCTAAAAGAAAATACTGGTTTAAATATTCAGGTGATTAATGGGTATGACTTAGTGAAGAAAACTTCTGCAAGCCTTGTAGGTCTCCCTTCTTCATTGAGGAAAGGCCTTCATTATTGTCAATTTGGCAATTAATTCTCAGGCTGCAGTGTCAGTACACAAACACATAACCTGATCCAAAGAGATAACTATTAAAAGTGATTTGTGCACATTTTGGTTTGTGTTTTAAAATGTGCAGCATGCACCTACCTTTGGTTTTCAGACAAAGCACTTAAAAAAAATAAATACATTGCCCTAGAAGAAGAAGCCGTACTGTTTGCCTTAGGTCTTACAGTAGACCCCTGGCAATGGAAGACTGAACCTCATCTTCCACAGCTGAAAGCTGTATTCTTCCAAGAGTTTCAGCTGTATCTGATCAGTATATGCTGGTCCCTGCTGCACATCCTGCCCTGGTGCACCGTGGTGCCAGAGTGCTGTCGAGTGGCCAGGCTCTGCCTGAGCAGCTGCTGTGCGTCCTTAGGGAACGCAAGGGCCGAGTCCCCCCAGGACGTGACGTGTATAGGCAGGAGATCATTGGTAGGGTTTAGTGCCGCTTTACAAGTGCGTGTGGATTTTCAACGTAGAAATAGACTTCTTTTTTAACAGAACTGTAGATAATACAGCACTTGCAGCCTTCTGCGGCAGACAGATGCGAGGATGTCACCTTTTGAAAGAACTAGATTTGTTTTGTGAACGTTGTGCTGGTGGGTTGTTCTCCTGTCTCGTCCCTGGAAATTAAGTTATTTTGGTGTACTATGAAAAGGGGTGTTTGTAGACTTGCTGACTTACATAAAATTGAATATTTAATTTCATACACAAAAAGCATCCTCATTCAGAAGAGGCTGGAGCTATTCCATTCTACTGGAAAAGGACTATTTTCTCATTAAATGGAAAAGAAATTAATCTGATACTTTGATCACTACACAAAACACAATGCTTGTTTCCAGTGGAGAAAAAGTAATAACATGTACAGTCAAGCTCTCCAGTAGCCTACAGTAGCCCCGTTACATTATCAATAGCTGGCTTTTCCTCCGGCTTAAATCTGTGTTCATCTGCGTCAGCAGTTTGCGCCCAGGTCTCTGTCACAGTTGCGTGTTTCACGGAAAGGCTTTACTGCACCTTTCCCGTGGAGGGCAGGACAGTCCATACTGAAAACGTCCAGCCAGCGTCGGAGGGCAGAGTCCTCGCGCTCTGCTGCTTTTATGCCTTGTGCGCCGCGCACACGTTTGTTTAACGTGCCCAGCGTTACGCACTTCGTGTTAGGTTTTGCGCGCTCGAGACTGAGACTGAACTATGCCGGACTGCAGTGTGCTATGGGCATCGCATAACAACCTCTTTCCTTTTTTTAGGCCCGAACTGCTTTGCAGAAACCATTGTCATTCCAGCAGGCCGGGAGGTGAAAACCGATGAATGCACTATATGTCACTGTACTTACGAAGAAGGCACTTGGAGAATTGAACGGCAAGCTATGTGCACTAGACATGAATGCAAACAAATATAGAAAATCTACAAATCTAAGTACTTTTCGTGTTTTTTATAAAATATCTCACAGTGGTGAGCACCCTAGATGACCCAGGGAAATCTGAATGGGAAGATTCTGGTGAGGAGCAAAGAATAAAATACTGATATTTTGTTTTTCAAAGTAACATAATACTGCAAGGCAAAGAAGTGCATATATTTAAAACGTTTGGACATAAGAATATCTGTCTTAATAAATGTGTTATTTTCACAGTGAGTACACTAAAATACACTATAAAATATTCTATGTATTTCTATAATACCATTATAGAGCTTAAAAATAAATGTTTTATATAGACAATACAGATTAAAGTATTGTATCATTGCCTGTCCTGTTGTATACATGCACCATGGCTAAAACATTACGTTTCTGTTCTATTTTCATAACATGAGGGTTTTCTTGGGGGTTTTTTGGTTTGGGGTTTTTTTTGCTTATTTCAGTTTAGTGGGCCAGAAAAGATCCAGCATATGATAAAACTTTGACGTTCTCACTTTTGAAAAAATGTAGCATAATATGCTTTTCAGAGAACATGTGCTCATTTATCAATGTTGCTATCTAGTACAGAGGTGGTACCTTCTTCTGCTTCCTCTGGTGCATGTCTACTGGTCCACAGCCGAGAGAACTTGGAGCAGTGGGTAATACAAAACTGGTCTCATGGCTGTTGTTATAAAAATTAAATCAGATGAAATCAATTCCTAATATTCAGTTCAGACGTCACACATTTCAGCAG